TTTGTAATTCAAATGATCAATTTGTTGATCAAAAAGAGATCGAAGACTTTTTTCTTTTTTTTCGATAAGGCTATTGTTCTCAAAATTGCATTTTTATTTGTCTTGCCATTATTATCTTGCCGTTGAATCGGTCGATTTCGTACGCCGTTCAAAATTGAAATATCCGATCAATAGAATGCTAGAGGTGCATTGTAGCAAACGCGGAACGAGTGCGATCACGCACAATTCCAAGTGAAATCGAACCAAAACATACGCATAAGTAGCACACAAACGTTCGCATTGCGAGGTGCGTGGGATCGAAACGACTCCCGAAGAAAAACGCGACTTTCCACCGGTGTGTCGTCCTCGTAATAAGGAAGTCCTTAAAAGATATTAATTAGAATCGAGAACACATTTTTAAGCTAAGGATTCACCGTTTGCACCAGACATGTTCCGATTACGTAAACGCTTAAGTCCGCATTGCAATCACGCAGATTCTGTTGTACATAATCGCACGATCCTTCTTGCTTCCTATCCCAGATTTCGCTTTCTTTTTCCTCTTCCCTTTCCTGTTTCGTCCGATTTTCGTTGTTCTACTACCCCAGGTTTCGTCACGGTGTCCGCGAAGCATGCTCAATCGTAGAGAATAGACTACCGTGAAATATCTTTGCAATTGTGCGAAGTCCGGTGGTAATTTTAATCGACGAATTATTCCTTTGTCAGGAGGGTAACTGGATTTCACGGTATTCATAAATCGTATACATTAAACAATAGTTGTAACCGTAAGACAAGCGCAGAGAACCGAGGCGATTACGTTTGAAACACCTGTTCTCGACAGCAGTCAAGACGTTCCTGCAAGGACAAGTAACCGATGAACACTGCAGGGTAGAGTATCTGATCAGGACTTCGCGCCGTTGACTATTAATTATTTATCTAGATGTACTAGCTGGCCGACAGAGAGTCCTGCTCTCCTGAGATCAGAGGTCTCGCAAGATCGTGCATCCGACCGCGGGATTGAAAATACCTCGCTGGCTGTAAATAAACTTTCGCCACGAGAGACGCCTTACAATACCACCGAGGAAGAGTCCTCGCGAGTACGTGTATATACGTGCATGTCCTCAATTTCACAAACGTTTGGCATAGATTCGTGATTTCTCTCCGGCGGCGGCGGCGAATGGATCGATGAATCTTCGTGTTCCGGGGGTTGGCGAGAATCATTATCTAATTAGGATACGATAAGAATTCATTGGATTTCTATGCTTCTCGTGATCACTGTAAATTGATAGCATCTCGAATCGATATGTTGCTGAAGATTTTTATAATTCTTTAATTAAATCAGTAATTAAATTGTATTCTATGAAGACTATTTCGTAATTTGTAAATTGTTAAGAAAAGTGAATCGAAACGTGCGTGGGGTGCATTTCATGCGAGATGAATAAGATGTAATTCGGATACAGTAAAAACACTCTAGCGTGCGAGTCGTTTTTAAAATATAACGTTTATTAAGGTGTGAACATATTCGTACACATTTATCTTACAAATAATGATAACATTATAGTACGTAGGTAAACTTAGACATAATCGACGAGTTTTGCTTGTAATTTATCTGAAGCCAAACTGTATGAAACTTCTGTAAAAATGTTAATAAACTAATTCGTTTGAAGATCACGTTAATCATTTCTATTATTAGAACCAATTATAACAAATAATTAATAATCATACTGAAAATTATATCTTTGTATCGCGTTTGGTTCTCAGACACAAATAAAAGATAATAAGATTAATCCGGGCCCGGTTGGATCTATTTCGGCCCGTTTGGCCCATTTTAGCCCGTTTCGATCTGTTTCTATAATATATAATATTTTCTATAATATATTTTATACAGATAGTAGAACTGGGAAATTTCATTTGAATAATCTTGTGCTGACAGAGTTCACTGGCCTAAGGGATCGGATCAGATAACGCAATATTTTATTTTCAAGATTAGTTTTAATTCAAAGCCTGTCTTCGTACTCGGTATCTAATGAACTTTTAAATTGAAAGAATAAATACGTCACTCTGCTGCTACTAGTAACTTCCAGTGCGCACGCCCCAGAAATGTCAAGATGTGCCCAACACTGATGTAAATAGTTGGCTATCAATTATATTTTGATAAAAGATAGAATATAAATGGAGACGTGATCATACACGTTCTGAGCTTGAACATGTAAATGGCAAGGAAGTGTATTGATTGTTAAGAATTATCACGGTTGCAGATTTTTAAAAATACTTATTATCGTCATGACTATTGACGAGGGGGTTCACCGTTAGTATTGCGTTACAATTTACAAAGTTGCTTTCATCGTTTTCGACGAAGAAGCAATAATTAGTTACGCGAATTACAGTTCGTAATCGACCGCCAAGGATGTATATTAGAATTGTAAAGCTTGTGCTAATTGTGCTTATAATTGCTCAAATAAGTAACCTAATTTAAACATCTTGTTATGATGTTTATTAACCTAACGATTGTTTATAAAATTTATTTTGACGTTTGACGTTTGTTTCCCTGAAGACGTAAGTAGTTAGAATAAATTTTCTCTATTTCGTCTAATGATACTTTCTGTAAAATAAGAATATATTATTCCAACGTTTAGTGTGACTGTCAGATTGTAAAATTAGATTTTCATCTTTGCTAATTATATCACTATGAATGACATGGAACAGTCTGAGAATATGGACAGTGAAAAGTTTGGTTCTTATTCTGCCTTACTGGTTGCATTTAAAACTATGAATGAACGTTGTCAACAATTACAATTAAGGTTGTCTACTGTAGAAGAAGAAAATATGCATTTAAGGCTTGAGTGTGGAAAAGATAAATCTACAACCATCACAAAATCTCCAAACAACAGTGAAAAATCTGTCGTAGACACTTTAAGGGTATATTTCTATTATTACATGAAATCCTTCATCTGTATTTTATACTTTCATGTATCAACAATTTGTGTCTTGATAGGAGAAGATTGAAGAGCTTAAAGAACAAAAATCTCAGTTAACTCATCAAGTTTTTATGGTGGCAGCAGAGAATCGTCAATTGTGGAAAAGATTGACGAAATTAACGAGAACTAATAAGACTTTGGGAAGTCATTTGACAAAAATTTCTGATACACTTAAGGAACATTCTCCAGTACAACCGTCAGAACTTGTGTCTTACAGTTGTCAAGATATTTCGGATTCTACTTTAAAGGAGAATGTTAAACAACAAGCCGTATTAACTGCAAATGGTGTGTGGTTTATTATATTTGTTTAACGATTGATCTATGATTGACATATGAACATACATGACATAATGCACGTTCTGTTACAGGTGAGAAAGATCTAAGTTTAGAAGAAATATCACTCAGGCTTATAAATAGCATTATGCTGGAAAAATCTGATCTTGAACAGCAATATCTTGAGGTAAATTATGCAACTAGCAATAGTATTATAAATTGTGTCATATCAACAGTCATTAGTCATAATGACTCATATAACATTTATTTGTTACTCTTGTTCACATTTAACTTCTATTTATTCAGATGGTTGAACTTCAAAATAGTACAGAATTGGATTTACGAAACATTGGTTTCACTTATCCAGAAGATTCTGATACAGATTTAGAATTATTCAAACAGCATGATATGAGGCTGTTGCAAATGAAAAACACTCTGTTAGCACAACAAACTACATTGAAAAGGGCGCTACAAAACTTTAAGAAAAAGAAAAAGGGTAAATACAAATTCCATATGTACAACATATAGAACTATTTAATTGAAGAAGCTAATGGCAATTACGGTTTTCCAGGATTAATGTGTAATACTTGCCGCATGAATGCAAATAAAAAGATGTGTCACTCCAGTACTCAGTTCAATTTTAATGAGAGTATTAAAGAGCATGGTACAACTCAAACGAGTCTCCAAGCTCCGAGCCTACCTTTGGAAAAATGCCCCAATTCAACAGATAATGTTGACCACGATAATAAGATTTGTCCGTTATGTGGATCCTATTATGGAAAATCGACTACATTTGCAGAATTTCACGAACATGTCTTAGGCCATTTTACTGAAGAAATGTCTGTTGATGGTTTGCATTAACGTTTATTCTCATTACGTACTAATTATCAAAGGAAGGGCACTTTTTATTTTTGTGAGTTTTGTACAAAATTGATTTATTTAACAGCAGAGAATAAATATAAATGCCACGTTTCGTGAAAGTATGTTAATCGTAACAGGATTAGAACTATTTTTATTCCTTAAATTCTATGAAATGTTGAAAGATAGAGTAATAAT